AGAAAGGGAAACCAGAAATTCACCAAAGTCCATCCAAGGGGGGCGGTGGAGCCAGACAGGTAGTGCTTCAACTGGATGGACCACGATCCGGAGTAAGCTTGCAGGAATTACCGGCAAAAGCGAATATGCCTGTCCCAAAATGTCTGTCTGCATGATGTGCGCGAGGCGAATTGGGTTATGATTCTTGAACAATATGAAAAACGTTGAGCGCGCACAGTCATTGGAGCGGGGATTCAAAATAAAGTTGTTAATGATGATGATTCTGATTCGTAATAGTCGAAAATCAAAACCTAAACAGAAATAAGATGTAAGTCTCACTGATTTCAAAAGGCTTAAATTGCAGCTAACCAATTTAGCAGGGGAATTTAAAAATTATAATAATCCTAAAACTCAATTTCTGATTTCAATGGGATTTATTTCTCAGGAAGTGTCGCTACGATTGAGGTGTTAACACACAGCCCATTCTAAACTCAGATGGGGCCATAATATTTTAAACCAATAAAGTTTCCAATTCAGAAACAAAAAGAAAAAAATTATGTGCTCCAGCACCACTCCCCAATTTATCGGAATGTAAGTCCCACAGAACTGAGTTCCGTGAAACTTACACCCAAGAATGCTTGCAGTACAGTGGTTCCTCGGGTTACATACGCTTCAGGTTACATATGCTTCAGGTTACAGACTCCACTAACTCAGAAATAGTACCTCGGGTTAAGAACTTTGCTTCAGGATGAGAACAGAAATCGTGCAGCTGCGGCACAGCGGCAGCGGGAGGCCCCATTAGCTAAAGTGGTGCTTCAGGTTAAGAACAGATTCAGGTTAAGAGCGGACCTCCGGAACGAATTAAGTACTTAACCCGAGGTACCACTGTATTAGGCATATTTATTTGGCTCCTAAAGTCGTTTACTTGAAAGTAAGCAGAGCCGTGGAAAACCGTTGGATTTCCTACGGATGGAGGCGATAGCTCTTTTGAGCTCAGGTAACCACAGAATTTTAAACCGAATTGGACTCCCTTTTGATATGTACTCCGATCCGCTATCTGGTGCTTCCGACCTATATCTCGTCAGCTGCTTGTAGGTTTCTGCATGAATCAAGTACTGTACACCTTCTCCTCACCTGGCTGCTCGTTTCACGAAGGACTGCTTTGTATCCAAATATCTGTGCTGTTGACTCGCCACAGATTTTCTCATTAAAGAGCTCTTGTGTCCCGAGGAGCAATTTTCCAATGGGGAGAGGAATAAATTAAAGGGCGGGGGGAGGTATTGCTAATTATATAAACACGACCAGCCTACAAGTGAACCTCCGCAGAGCTCTGCTTTTGTAATAGCCAACTCTCCCGTCCCATTGGATTAGTGAATATATTCCTTTCTCTCTCCAAAGCCTTCCATAGGCACGCAGCGAAACTGACCAGCGCTGCCTCAGTCCCTCGTTTGCGTGTTAAAAAGGCTAGAGATGTGACCGATTCGTCGCAAAACAGTCATAACAGAGCATCCGATCAGATCTTCTGTCTTCCAGTGACTTCTCCCTAATTTTCACAGGCGGCGTGCCTCTATTTATTCCACTTTTGATGCGCCACAAATTACGCACAATGTAGGTATATATGCACATGGGGAGGGGGGGGGAGAGAGAATCCTGCCCCTTTCAGACTCCAAAACTGTGGCATATTTTTGGTGAAAGGATCTCGACTCTGGACCTTTCTGTCCTGCATGGATGGTTAATAAAGTGAAACGCTGACCCAAGTTGAAGCACAGAGCAAAAGCGCGCGCCACTGCAGCTAAACAGCAGTTTCATGTTGCACGCCTGGGCTATAGTCGTTGGAGCCGTAGAGTCGACGTCTCGACTGCATCGGACCGGGAATGATGCGCGCGCGGGGGGGGGGGGGGACTTGGGTCGCATAAATTGCCAGGCTAGTCCCCTACTTTAAAAAATAAATAAAAACGGGCTGTGTTTATTTTTTGCTAACTAGTCTGGAGGTGCCAATCAAAGCGATGCAATCACTTTGCGGCATCGATGAAGCTGCGTTCAGTTTTGATAGATAGATGTATATACATTAATTTAGTGATTTCCACATTAAAACTTAATACTCAGGTGCTTGTTGGGGGTGGGGTGGGGGTTGCGGCAGGGGAGTAGTTGGTAAAACCGACCTCATGCGGAAATCTAAAGATTAAAAACTCTGGGGAAAGTGTCAATAAAAATGTATTTGTGATTTTTTAAAATTTTCTAAACTACCGTAGAACTACTCAGAAAATTTTGAAGACGTTTGAAGAAAAAAAACGCACAAACATACACATATTCTAATTTCTTCAAATATATCGTGTTGGCCACAGGCATTAATGCCATACGTTTGTACTGTACTCATTTTGATTAATTGTATTTAGAAACTATATTATTTATGTACTTTTACTGAAGAGAAAAATCTCTGCCCTCAAGGAGCTTACAGTTAAGCAGCTCCATTCATTCAGGGCCCCTTTCGCCTCTACCTAGATTTACTTGAACAGATCCAGTGCGCCTCTAAATAGACTGAAATTAAACTGCTTTCTTAGACTACTTGTCGGTCCCCTCCCCTTGTCGGTCACCTGAGCTGGGGAAGCGGTGAAAACGAAGGAAGATGAAATAGAAATAACGAGAAATACACATATGATTGTGTGTGTGTCTCCTGCGACGTGAGGTTTATCCTTTTATCCTAAGAGAGGATAAAAGAAGGCTTAGATGTCACATTTCCTATGCAAGCCTTGAGAGAAAGGAATTCTTTTGTTCAGTTTTTTTTTAAGAAGAAAAATAATAATAATCATTTGTTCCTCGTAAACAGCCCCTAATGGCTTAGTTTTGTTTCGCGCGGACAATTTCCTACCTTCATTGATGCAGGGCTGATGGGGTAAATATTCTAATCTGATTCAGTTCACCTCCTGCAGATCGCTGGAGACAGTCGTGACAGACCAAGGGTTTTGCAAATCACAAGGACCCGGCTACCAGGAGAGACGGTCGCGTCTTAATCAACAAGAGTTTTTAAAGGACTTAGCCGACCCACCCCTTCACCAGAAGGTACATGCGAAATGTAAAGAACCACATCAGCCCCAATACATACATACATACATACATACATACAATAGTTGGAGGACTGGAAAAGAGATTATTTTTTGAGATGGTACCCCAATAGACCCTCTTTTTTCACATGTTTGTCGAAAACCACATTTGAAAATATTCCCCAACATTTTGAAGGTGCAAAAGCACCATATTAATTTCTACACCTCTCCTGCAACTACTTTTTTTTTTTAAAGTAACCATTACTTTGTGTGGGATGTGTGTGTGTATACCAACCTAAAGACAGTCGTAATGGCACAGATCCGCAATCCAAAATCCCAGACGAAGCTAAGAACCATTAAATCCTGTCGGTATCAATGGGTGTTGTCTTGCGGCTCTTATACATGCTTACTCAAACGCGCCCCGCGGAAACCCGAGCGACTAATGCGCAGTGGCCGGGTCTTGACTTAACCTGATCGCAGCGGGCTTTTATTTCCAAGCGAAATGTGCTTCGGAGAGGTCCATTTCCGACCGCAGTCCTATGGACACTGGGCGGCTCGAGGATAAGGATCACCGGACTCATCGGGGCTTACTTCTGAGTAAACCTGCAGAGGATGGCCATATGGGCCTTTCGTTCCGTCCGCGGCATCCTTCATGCCTATAACCATGTCGCCATAGACAGCAACAGACTGAGCACCAAATCGTTCACGAAATAAGAGTTTCGAATATATATATTCGGGTTCAGGGGAGGGATGGGGGTTCAGCTGGGGGGGGGCAGGAAAAATGGGATAAAGGAACACACTCTATGCAACATATGTATCAGTGACCGGAATGGCTAAAGGGAAGGAAACGCTACGCTCTTTGAAGCAAGGAGTTTACCGTCGAGTAAAGACAAAGCCGATCGGGGAGGGGCTGTAATGGACTAAAGATGAATATTCTAAACCTTGTTTCCCCACTTTCACTCTTCCTCCTCTCCCCCCCGCCCCCGCACGCATTTCTTGCAAGAACTCGGGAACGTCTAACCCCGATCCTAAGCTCATTTATGGACAGCAGGGATGTCGCCCTTTCGGATCGCGGCAGAAGCTGATGAATTAGCAAACAGCCTCTTCAGCAGAAAAATAAGCGGGGCACTTTCGGAGCCGGCCGGGAGCTGGTGTTAGGCGATTCTCCGCAATAACATTAACCAGATTAACCCGGGCAACAATTAGCGATGGAGGGCAGCAAACAGCGAGAGATCAACCCTAAATCGCGGGGGGGGGGGCGGGGTGCGAGGAGCGAGCTCGCCGAGAGCTGGGAAGAGGCGAGAGGCGGGGGGGAGGGGGGGAGAGAGATCCGCTAATGGAAAGGATTACGTTAATTTCGTTAATTCTTAATGCACAGAGACCCGTCTCTCTCCCTTTCCCTCCTCCCCCAGACGCGCCCACCAGCCCCACCCCTCCACTTTCCCTCCTCCCCACCGCCCCCATCTCTGCTGACTTTACTTTGGTAAAGATGGAAAGGGGGGGGGGCGAAGAGAGAGAGAAATCTGGTTTTATTTGTGATCTGATCTATAACCAGGAACTAAATCCAGGATGACGTCGCCGGGGTATAAAAAAGGAAAGAGGGTCGGAGTGGAGTAGAGACTCCCATGCAGTTGAGATCTGAGGAGGAAACGGACCAGAGGGAAGGAAAGGGGGAGTGGAGAGGAGGAGGAGGAAAAAGAGGAGGGGGAGAAGCGCGCAAAGTGACCAGGAAGGGCCTCTCCTGGCTCGCTTGCTTTCAAAAAAGAAAGCGCTGGCGGACAGGCCCCCCTCTCCCTCCCCCTCCCCAAATAAGCCTGGCGCCCCGAGCCTGGGGAAACCTCAGTCCGCGTTTTTCCTCGGCTCCGCCGCTGCGCACACTCCGCTCCGCTCCCCCTCCGCCGCCGCCTTGCTGAGCGGAGCTTCTCCTTGGCTCCGTCGGCCCCCGCCCGCCCTCCCTCCGAGCCGCGCGCTTTGGGGGCTATGCCTGCGGGCATGTTCAGCATCGACAACATCCTGGCGGCCAGACCCCGCTGCAAGGAGTCGGGGCTGCTCCAGCAGCAGCAGCAGCAGCAGCAAGCGGCGCCTCAGCCGAGCGCGCCGTCGGTGGTTTTCTCGACCAGCCTGCACGGCGGGGACTCGCTGTACGCTTCGGCTGCCGCAGCCGGCGGAGACTACGGCGGATATTACTCGCGGGCGGTGGCCCCGGCCTCCAACTTGCCCGCGCTGGGCGGATCTCGACTGGGAGGCTATGGCAACTATTACTACGGGCAGCTGCACGTCCAGGCGTCCGCCGTGGGGCCGCCTTGCTGCGGCGCGATGCAGCCCCTAGGCGCGCAGCAGTGCTCCTGCGTCCCGGCAACAGGTAAGGCAATAAGAATGCTAATAATATAATAATATTAACTGCCCTATTCACTTTCAACCCAGAGGGATGAGGAGGGAATGTAAAAGAGAGAATCAAAGTTAACCACCACTCCCCGTACTTTTTCCGCCTATTTCGCTTATGTTTACGCGCGCCCCTCCCAGCGCTTCCAGACTTTCCTTTGCGCTTGGATAATGATTGAGTAATGGCCGTCATTTACAGGACGAGGCTCCGCCGCCGCCGCTCCTCTCCTCTCCTCTGCGCGGTGGGGAGAACGGTCCCCTGTGGACTTTCGTTCGTGGGAATGAAGAATAGCCCATTCACTTACAATGAGGGAAATTTGCCAGGGTGTGGGAAGCGGGGAGCTCAGTTTGCTGCTGGTGACCCCGTGCATTAAGGCTGCTTCTGTAAGGCACAGCTAGTCCCGTCCGGGATTCTGTTGCCTGGTCACTCCACGGCGTGACAGAATGCTGCGAAGCAGCGATACATTCCTTCGCATTGGCTGAAAGTGACGTTCCATATTCGAACCAAGATGGCTTGTGATCGAAGTCGGTTTGTGTTGAGAGTTGAGCTGGTTGGGTGCAGTTCTCTGAAGCGGCGTTTCCCCGTCCCTTCGCTTCCCACCCTTAAGACATATACCTGCTCTGACGACCCGCTCAGAAACTCAGGTTTGGAATCCTTACAACTTCCAACATTCCTGGGAGTATTTAGATTGACTTCTGAGTAAAGCTGCTGTCCTAAAGCATATTTATGTGGCCGTCAATGCAATTAAAGGAAGTGGGACTTGCTTCTGAGTAAACAAATGCTGCAAACGTCTTTAGGATTGGAGTGTAAACTTCTGAGGCGGCGACCTGCTCTCCTTAATTTACTTTCAACTTTCCAGTCCTATTTTTTAAATAAGTATTTTTTTAGTCCCACTGAATTAAATAAAACTTCCAAGAAAATATATCTGAGATCGAGATGTAAATCACTCCATAATAAAACAAATCTGGCAAACCTGATTTTTGAAGTCAACCAATGGGCAAATCCGATCCACACCCAGTTAAAATGTGGGGTTTTTTTTGGGGGGGGGGGGTGAACCTGATTCAAAATACAATCCTCAACACATTTATTTAGGACAAAGTTAAATGTCACTGAATTTAGTGGGGCTTCCTTCCACTGGCATCTGATTAGGTTGCTAACCTGGTTGAAGGCAATGAGATTATTCTAAAACACATAGAAGGAAACGTTAGTTTATTAATTGAACTTCCCCCCAAAAATATGTCAGGGTCAGGGGCACAGTTCAAGTTCGGTTATTAATCCTGTTCAGTTTGAACTGATTTTGTCTGGATGGCAATGGAGATTACAGTTGTACCCCAACTTCCCTCCAATGAGTTAGGTGGGGGCATATATTGATGGGCTGGTAAAAAATCCCCGCACTTTAACGTGATCCCAGTTGTGGGCTGTTTTTTGGGGCTCCTGGGTGAATTCAGCGGGGATTTATTGCTTCGTCGTTGAGAGGCTTGGACCCTAGTTTCTGACCCGCTTAAGCGGCCCTAGCCGGTGAGCTAAATGCATGCCCCCTAATGCGTAAACTCCACTGAACTAAAGTGGAGAGTGAAACGCCATCGGACTCAGTGGGACGTATTCACACGTCTATCTGTGTCTATCATTTTGGAGAAGGTCACGTGTGGAGTGGCAGTCAGCATTTTCTCCATGTGTGAATGAGACTTGCTTCCGTCTTCCAGGGCAAATCTGGAGTAAGCGGGATGGGCGTGCGCTGCAGCGCCAAGCCCAGACTCCGCATCCCTGCAAACGTTAGTGGGAGTTTTCACCAAACTGAAACTTCCAAATTTGCTCCATAGCCTTTAATCAGCTTCTTCGTGGCCTTTTGCCCCTGGCAGGTAACTGGTTGGTAACTCTCGGAGTTGGCAGGCCGTGCTTTTTCGTGGGCTCCGAATCCAGCTCAAACGGTACCATATCACCTCCTTTCGCCCCTCTCCCTTTCTCTCTAGGCTACGAAGGGACCGGGTCCGTCCTGATGTCTCCGGTGCCCCATCAGATGCTGCCGTACATGAACATGGGCACCTTGTCCCGGACTGAGTTGCAGCTGCTGAACCAGCTGCACTGCCGTCGGAAAAGGAGGCACCGCACCATCTTCACGGACGAACAGCTGGAGGCTCTGGAAAACCTCTTCCAGGAAACCAAATACCCAGATGTGGGCACTAGGGAACAGCTGGCCAGGAGGGTCCATTTGCGGGAGGAGAAAGTGGAGGTAATTGGAATGGGCTTCTGGGCTTCATTGCAAAATACAGGCGGAGGGAGACCGGGGGCCGTTTCTTCCTTATGCCATCCAAGGGGAGGGCGAGTGATGGTGGGGGTGGGAGGGAGAGAAGCAACCCGTAGATTTCCAAAGGAGGGGGGAAGTTTGCGTCTTAAACCGACTGCAAACTCGCTTCTGTATTTTATGCAGCGCCTGGCACGTCCTTGGTGGGGAATAATATGTAAGGCTTACTCAGTAGTAGTAGCAGTAGTACTTAGTACTCAGTAGTAGCAGTTACTCAGAAGACTGAGTAGTGCAGCAATTCTGTACCTAGTTTACCTGGGAGTAAGTTCCGTTGAGCTCTGTGATGCTTACTTCTGAGTAGACATGCATAGGATTACTCCGTAATTCTCCTTACCATTGTCATTCGGCCCCAATCCTGCACTGTTTACCCTCAAGTGAACGCAACTGATTTAAATGAAACGTAATTTTAAGTATGTGTGTTGAGGACGCGTTTTAGGCAATGGGATCAACAATTCAGCGGGTCCCTGGATCGCAGCTTCAGTTCCGCAGATTCCCAATTTGGAGGGCACTTTGCATACTCAGCGTGCTCAGTCCTATTCGCGTGGCGCGATCCACAACTTTGAGAGTTTAACCCTAAAGCAGTAAGTTTAATGGAACTTACTCCTTGATGAGTGTGGTAGGATTTGCAGCTTCCCTCCACTTCAGATTTAGTTTTAAGAGGCACCGAGTCCCCCTCTTAATACTTTGGGACTTCGGTTTGGACGGTGACTTCTGTGTTCACTGGATTGTAGACTAGGCTTGCCTGTCTAAAGACAACCGAAGTACTTGCTCACAACAACTGCACTTATTTATAGAGCCCGGCAGTGTACTAGGCCCAGAGTAAAACAGTACTAGGCGGTCCTGGGAGGCGTCGGCACGCCGATCCTACACGCATTTGGTGGAAGCAAGTCCCTTTGAATGCGGGGAGACGGGCAACTGCGTCCGATCTTGGCCCGGAACATCCTGTGCCAGGTAACGGAGAGAGAAGGAGGTGGGGGTGCAGAGCTAGATAACGCCATCCAACTTGCCTCTGTAGCTGCGATGCAAAATGCCTCGCTTCTTAAGCGTTCGCTTCCCAGGTTTTAAGATGCAACTCGCTCTGCTGGTCAAATGTATTTTTTTGCAGGAGCTTTAGGCAGAACATATCAAACCTGTATTTTGCACAACTTCTGACACACCCTTGGCCCTAAAATCCTGGGAACAGTAGGATAATCAGCAGCGCTATTTGGATAAACTAATGGTAACACTCCCCATCCTTACGCTGTCAGTCCTGCAGTGTTGGCTTGAAAATAACCCCGGTTGCACTGCGATCCTGTAAGGTATAACACTTCCCAGGTGCGCGGAAGCAACTGCAGCCGCCGTCGAAGTAGCTCAACCGGGAGTTGAGGTTGCGCGGGGGAATGATGTTAGATTCTACCTTATGCGCATACGCGCAGCGAAATGCAAGACCCATCTCTTAGTTCGCGGCTCTGTATTGAAGCTCTAGCCTGCATAGCATCTTGTTCAGACGGTAATCTGTTCACACATGCATGTTTACGTCATCGGGGTGTGTGAACCGATTCCACCAGAGGAAGCATTACGTTTGAGATGGCGTGGCATCTAGTGATAGGAGAACTCGATCCCAGTGCAATCCTATACATGCCTACTCAAAAGTCCCATTGAGTTCCCAGGGAAGTAGGTATAGCATTGCCGCTTTTGTGGCTTTAGATCCGTAACGGCTGGTTCGCACGTGCAGGGTCAGAGCTCCATGCTGCTGCAGCAGCCGTGCAAAACTGAAAGACGCGGTGCAAACAGTGTTGTTGCAAGTATTGACACCTTCCCCTCCCCTCCTTCACTTCCTCGAATGGCAGGTTTGGTTCAAGAACCGCCGGGCTAAATGGAGAAGGCAAAAGAGGTCTTCTTCGGAGGAGTCAGAAAATGCCCAGAAATGGAATAAAGCTTCCAAAACATCCCCAGAGAAGAGACAAGAAGAAAGCAAAAGCGATTTGGACTCCGACAGCTGATACCTTTCCCCCCACCCGGAGGATAAATTTGCTGGGCCGGCGAAATGGACATAGCTTGCCTGCACAACTTGCACCGAGAAGGAAGATGCTTAAGAATTCTTGCACAGACTCTGCCTATGCAGGAGGAGGGAAAGGAGGACCGTATAAATATATATCTATATCTATCTGTATATAATGTACACATGACGACCCTGGGAGCGATCCCTTTTAAATAAAGCGTGTTGCGGAGGTGTTGCACAGGTGGGTGTTTGGGGTCGCTTGCTTTGTTTGGGTTTCTCTGACAGACCCGGCTCCGAAGAATCACAGGCCGGGGTGGGGCCCACAGCCTTGTTTAGTCTGCTGCTCTTTTTTTGTTTGGTTTGGTTTCCATTGTTTTGGCTGGCTGGGTTAGGAAGAAGGCGGGGTGGGGAGAACGGAGAGCCGGAGACATAAAGCTGCGCTATTGGTTATTGATTCCCAACTCTGGGAAAGCGATGCTGGCTTTATGCGCTTAGAAGAGAGAGGTTGCAAGGCTGCAAACGCGTACAGAACAGCACACACTTCCTTGCCAGTAAGCCCCCTCGAACTTCTGGGACTTAACTCCCGAGCAAAGGTGCGCGCTGGGATCCGCTGAGATCTTCAGCATGGCTCCCCAAACGACAACCACAAGCAGTCCGTTAGGATTTGTTCCCTAGGACGGCCGCTTTCTCAGAGTAATCCAGGCTCGCAGAGGACATTAGTCCCAGGCAAACGGCAGTCAAGTTCAGCGAAAGTTGTCCGAGTTTAAACATTTTATCCTTTCAGTGGAACACAATAATAACCTTTAACTTGACCGGGCTGTAAAACTGAAAAGAGATCTGCTCCGATTAACGATAGGAAATGGCAAAACCCCGAAACCGCACCCGTCTTTTTTCTGTCCGCGGGAGTGCGTCCCGCCGATTGCAATGGGACTTATTTCCAAGGAAGTTTACTTAGGATCTCTGCCTTCAATTAAAACGGGAAAGGAGGAGAGCAGAGGGGATAAAGGAGCTGCTGGCTTCTTTAAACCTGATCTTGAAATGGTGGGGAGACGCAGAACTTTCCTGGGCTTCTGGTGAGACCGGGATTTTACCAGGGATTTAACCTGGGCCTTCCAGCGCGCAAGGCAGATGTCCGCTCTGCCCCTGAGCCACGCTCGTTTCCCCAAAGGCTTTAACGTTTGTTTATTCCCTTCGGCAGTATCTGATCTGGAGGGGTGCGGGGGAAACCCACAAAAACAGCTGAACGTTTTACTGCACTTTCGCCTTTCCTAGTAACCAGCTTCATTTAATGCTGCTAGGGAAACGATGGTGGGAAGCGCAGAGTTTGCTGAACGCCACTTATTCCATAGTTTAGCACGCGAAGGAATTGCTGAGCAATCCGAAAACCGCAGCGTCTCTCTCCCTATTTCCTCACGAATGATAATATCGGAAAAGGTATAGTTGTTGAGGCATCTGAGGCCAAACCAAGACTCGTTGGAGAGGGTTGTGCGACCGCGAGCAATACCAATCAGCTGTTTATCGCATTTGGTTATGTGTTTCCCCCCACATATCTGTACTGTTCCTTAGCGGATGAAATCAGCCTATTTACAAAAGGGATGAATTATTTGCCTCCTTGAATCCGGAATCCCGACTGCGATCTTAGCTGATAGCCAGTGTTAATGTTCCGTCAACATTTTGCGCTGTGAATGCCATGTCAGACAGACCCACTGAAATGAATGAGCATGACTGAGCGAGGTCCGTTAATTTCAATAGGTCTACTCTGAGTAACATTTAGTTGACTGCCACTCAGAGATTCAAGCGAAAAGGAAATCTGCCCAGGCACATACCTTTCAACCCCCCAAATTATTGAGCACCTGCCACGAGTGACGCAAGTCATCTGTGAAGGGCCACATGAAGACTCAATAATCTTGTTCCGTCTTAACCTTTCCCTTGGCCCGAAACAGACCTGCAAGCCTATACCCACTTACCTGCGAGTAAGCCCCACTGCCTTAAGTGGGATATACCTCTGAGTAGACACAGGATTGCGCTTTAAGTCTCGTCGATTACCTGTTTCCTGAAGGGACAAAGACCACACACGTGCTTCCAAAAAGCCCACTGCAATTCTATCCATTTCTCCACAAAAATAAGCACCACTGGGTTCAATGGAGCCTACTCTCAGGTAAGTGTGTAATGTTACCTGGGCCCCTTCTTCCCAGTTAACAAGAGCCTTGCAAAGCGTGCAAGATTGCGGGGGGCGTGGTTGCTTGTGTAGGTGCTTTTCTCTTTTTGCATCCCGAAAAAAATCCTACCATTCAAACGATCAGAGCGTCAGGGTCAGTCCTCTGGTCCCTCTTCACTGGCCCCAGGGCAAGAGTGGTGATAGCTGGCGATGGGTCCGCTCAGCTAGAGCCCCACCGGATCCAGTGTTGTCAATATGTGCGTTAGAATCATGGAAACAGCAGCCATGGAATGCACATTTCCATGCTCTGAGCATTGGCTAGCGTGCACAATGAAGACTCAACACTGACAGGCAATGGTGGAGAGCAATCCGTAAGCCCTCCTCTCCTTTAAACTGCTTGGAAAGAACTTGCCCAATAAGTCATGTGACCAGTGCCATGATGTGTCATTAATCACCTTCCCAAATCTTGCTCCTTACCCAACCCACAATTCTGGAACAGCTTTCTCTTTTAAAAAAACAAAAAAACAAACAAACCACAAATCAAATTGAAGGAGAGTGAAAGTGCCCCTGTTAGGAACAGAGGGTGTTGCCTTAAGTTACACCCACTCAGATCGTTGGTTCAGGGGATATTATTCAGACAGAGGATATTATTATTATTATTATTATTCCACCTTTTTACTTGACAGGAACTCAAGTAAAGGTTTACAGCTAAGGGCTTACAGCTACAGGCTTACAGCTAAAACAGAAACAGTTAAAAACATAGGAAAAAGCAATCATTAAAAAACAATTAAACATTAATAAAATATGCACACACACACAAACCAAACAGATCATTACAATAAGATATCTACACTTTCCCACCCTTATATCTGCAGAAAGAAAACTGCTACAATAAAAAGTCTAAACAAAAGACACATTGCATAAAATGTTCTCATCATATTCCCCGCCCTAATTGGAGATGTGGGGAATCAAACCTGCAGTCTTGTGCGCACAAGGCTTGCTCTCTTTCGCTGAGCTCTTCCCTTCAGTGTCATTACATGAAATCTATGTTTCTATTGATTGGTTTTATTGTACGCAAGTCTACTCCCCACACTTTCTTACACTATTCTACTTGAAACCTGGCTCCTCAGGATTCACACCTCCAGAACAGCAGCCCAGAGCCTTCTCCCTCAGCAAGTTTGATGTGGATTAGAGCCAAGAGTTTGTCAGGCAGCCTCCCTGACCCATGGCGAGATGGGCTTTAAAAGAGACGGGGAAAGGCTACAATAAAATGTGCAACTTTTTTGTGTTCCTGTTTCATAAGGGCCTGGGGAGAAACAACTAATCAACCAAATAAATCCAAATTAAGGAGTGACCAGAACACTTCCATACTACAGTGGTACCATGGGTTACAGACGCTTCAGGTTACAGACGCTTCAGGTTACAGACTCCGCTAACCCAGAAATAGTACCTAGGGTTAAGAACTTTGCTTCAGGATGAGAACAGAAATTGTGCGTCGGCAGCGGGAGGCCCTATTCGCTAAAGTGGTGCTTCAGGTTAAGAACAGTTTCAGGTTAAGAATGGACCTCCAGAACGAATTAAGTTCTTAACCCGAGGTACCACTGTATATGTTGCACCTTAAAGAGCTTTTAAATTAGCACCCTAAAATATTTGACCCCATTGCAGGATATTTGATCTCTTCTTCAGGCCAGGCTCCCGGGAAGAAGTCACAGTGATACCTGGACCATAATGCTCATATTCAGGTTGTGGAATATTCTCAGTTCCCCTTCCAGCATATTATCTGGACTTATACCTGATGTCATCCTATACATGTTTACTCAGAAGTAAGTCCAGTGGCATCCAATGGAGCTTGATCCCAGATAAATCTTCTGGCCTCCATTGAGCATCATAAGGTAAATAATGGTATGCAAAATGCACCTTGGAAAGCCTCTGGGTTGAGAAATGGCAATGTGAAGTGGCCTATATACCTTTCTGTACTATTCTCTAGCACAATTATGATGGGAATGTGGGCCTCCTGATCCATGACTGTTGGCTGTGCTGGGTGGAGCTGATGGGTGATGGAATCCAGCAACACCTGAAGGAAGGGGGGGGGAGCATAGAAAATATTATTCTAACTCAGTATTTTGCATACACCACCTACTCCCATTCTTAAAATGCAAACAATATCAGGAGCTCAAAGTTCATGAAAACAAACCACCCTCATGTAGCTGTAATAATTGTTGTGAAATACGGTGTAATTGGAAATCCCAAATTCTGCATATTTACTTGCTCCATAGTAATGCTGAGCAGGACTTTCTGTGCGCCTGTCCCTTTTCTGTGAAGCAGGATTCCTGTTGAGATAGGACAGGAACCTACTATCACTACTTTTCAGAAACAGCTGAAGACAGTTTTTTTCTGACAAGCTTTCACGGCTGGACGAATAGGTGTTTGTTTTTGCATTGTTTTAAAACTTGTATTATGTTGGCTTTAAAAAAAAAATAAAGGTAAAGGTAAAGGACCCTTGATAGTTAAGTCCCATCACAAACGACTCTGGGGTTGCGGCGCTCATCTCGCTTTACTGGCCAAAGGAGCAGATGTTTGTCCGCAGACAGTTTTTCCAGGTCATGTGGCCAACATGACTAAGCCGCTTCTGGCAAAACCAGAGCAGCACACGGAAAAGCCATTTACCTTCCCGCCGGAGCGGTACCTATTTATCTACTTGCACTTTGATGTGCTTTCGAATTGCTAGGTTGGCAGGAACTGGGTCTGCACAACGGGAGCTCACCCCATCGCAGGGATTTGAACTGCCGACCTTCCAATCGGCAAGAAGTTATTTTTGTTATGTTTGGTACATTGCCTGAGATATATATGTGTAGGGCAATTAATTACTCAGTGCAAAGACACATGGAAATGCAAATTTATTTATGCTGCACACAGTCTTAGGTCATGGCAATAATAGTAAAAAGAACCGCAAAACACTAAACACCACCTGTACCACTGGCAGAGAATTGGTGCCACCATTGGTGCCAATTTCCAGTAAGATCTTGTGGAGTGTGTGAGATCTCATAAGATTTTAGTGAGATCTCATGAGATCTCACCAGAAATCAGTGCTGATGCAGGACCTACATTTCTGCAGGTCGCAGTAGGGTGGACGGCATGGCACAGAAATGGTGGCAGAATGGAGTAAAATGGGACACACTGTCCCTGCATAGGTACAGTACATGTTCCAGTCATGGCTAAGAAGCAAACTTTCTAAACAACTGAGCCCTAGAACAATTGAACAACACTGGGAGCATCTCAAAGCAATCATAGCCTGCTTACGGGATTCCCAGAAGCATCTGATTGGCCTTTGGCCTGATCCAGCAGGGCTCTTTGGTTCTTATGCATTTACTTTATAGCCTGCCTTTCCTTCACAAAGCTCTAGGTGGTGTACATCAAGTTCCTTACTAGATGGCCTCCATACTTTGATCAGATTCAGAATGAGATCAAACCTACTTAGCTCCAGCAAATTTGTCACTTCATGCCTTCAAGCAATTTCCACTGTATCTATCAAATGCTTTTTTTATTATTTAAAACAAACAAACAACCCCCATACCAACTGCCAAATAGTGTTGAATATTAAATATTATTGCATGCCAACCACCAGATACTGTTAGTGGTTCTCAAATATCTTGCAATCAAAGTTTAAGGAGGGATCTGTTTGCAAGGGGACCATGCTGAATAAGATATCATATAGGCTAAGGTATAAACACTGATAAACCTGGAATATTGTCCAGAACTAACTGTTAATGGTGCAGCTGCACTACTCATGAAAAGATTTAAGGCAATCCAAACTGAATTCTTTGGAACTATTTCTTTCTTTCTGTTTTTGTGAACTCCCCGGTGATCCGTACCATAAAGAATTGTGGCCTGTACCATAGCCTTGGAAATGCAAAGGGCAGGGTCAGTTATATTACTTCCATATTTTCTTCAAAATTATAAAACCGTGTTATCTGCCCTGCCTCATTTTAGTGAAAT